GGTGACCTGGGCTCAGGTGGGTGGAGGTGGGCGCAGATGGGTAGCTCAGTGGGGCGGCAGAGAGTGGCTGGCTGGGCAGATGGGCTGGGAAATGGAGGGTGACTGTAGACAGAGTCCGCAGAGCCTCACCTGGGCTTTGGCCTTCATGGCATCGTACTGGGTCTGCATCCTCTTCTGGGCGTCCTCGTCCACGCTGGGGTCCCTGACCCTGTGGACCAGGGAGGCCGCCTCCTCCAGCAGGCGGCCGAGCAGTGCGGCCTGGCTGTCCACGTTGTCCAGCAGCACCCGGGCGTGGCTCAGCTGCCACTGCTTCTCCTTCAGGCCCAGCTGCAGCTCCACGCGGGGCTCCAGCGTCACCGTCATCTTCTGGAACCAGCGGTAGAACTCATTTCGGGCCAGCAGGTACTCGCTCCAGTGCAGCCACACCCACTCGATGCGGCTGGGGACAGAGAGCAGGGCCGTGAGGGGCCCACCACACCACTGCCCCTCCCGATCCTGGGGCCGTGTGGCCAGGGAGCAGTGATGCCCTTCTCTGTGCCTTACAGTCACAGGGTGGCTTGTGGACACCCCAGAAGGGGGCCTCCTCTCAGTCATAGGATAAAACCTCCGGCCTGTAAATGGCTCTGTGAGTGAGGGCGAGGAGCAGGGTGGCTCCAATTCCTGACCTGCCCTGAGAACAGCCTTGGTGATGCAGCTCAGAGAGCCCTTAGCCACCAGCACCCCAGAGTCTGGCCCTGAGCTCGCATCGTCAATGCAGGGGTACTCAATCATCCTCTCTGGTGCTGGGACTTAGGACACAGCCGCCTGGCCCTCCCCACATGCATGCCCTCACGGTCGTCATCAGCAGAGCGCAGTCGTACCTGGGGTTTGTTGCCAGTGGGATGGAAGGCTGAGGGCCCACATGGGGGCCCCAGGGGTGTCCCAAATCGTCACCTGCCTGCAGAGATGGCTCGATCTCTCCAGCAAACATTAAGTCATTTCATTTGGAATAGCAAGTGGAGGGTTTGGGAAGCAGGAAGCACTGTGCGGCCCCATCTCCGCTCACATTCTCGCTCTGTAACATCCACTATGGAGACGATGCCGGCAGAGCCTGCTTGCTGAGGGCCTACTGTGTGCCAAGCACTGTGCCTCTTCTTGACTATGCCTGTCCCCTTCCTCCTCCTCACAGCTTTCCAGCAGCACCTGACCACTCTCATTGTCCAGATGAGCTGCTCAAGGCTCAGAGACAGCAAATAACTCTCCCAAGGCCACACAGGAAGTGGCCAGCAGTGCAAGAGCCAACTCCAAATCTGGATCCCTGCCCCTCTGCACCCCACCCTCACCACCACCTGGCTCCCTAGAGCAGGCATGGAGTCTGGGCTGATGTGTGAGCGGGGCACCGGGCCGCTTGCTCCAGAGTCACTGGGCCAGCCCGAGCGAGATGCTCACAGCGAGTCCATTGAGAACTGTTGTCAAAACAGAAGGGGCTCCCAGCGTCCGTCATCAGCGAGCTCGGTTATAGTTAGGAAGAGGCAGGTAGTGCTGGCCCAAGTCCCACGAGAACATCCTGTCCCCAGGATGCCAGGACTAGAGACACAGCCCTTGGGCAGAGGTCCCAGGCCAGCAAGGAGGGTCAGCGGCAGCTGCGGACAAGGGCTGCCGGGTCCCTGGCCTGGCCTACCTGTGGCAGTGAGTCATGTAGGTGACCGTCTCCTCCCACTCGGCCTTGAGGTCTCTCAGCCGGGCCAGGATCTTGGGCTTCTGCTCCTCGGGGCAATGTACCAGGAAGGCTTCTGCTGCCTGCAGTGCCAGGTCCAGCTTCACGCGGCCCTCGGGCTCCAGCTGGCATATTTTCTGTCATGGACACAAAGCCGGTTCCGGGGGTTAGACAAGAGGAAAACTGGTGCAAGGAGCCAGGACTCCAAGGCCAGAGGAGCTGGGGTTCCAGCCGCAGCCCTGCTCCCCTCTCCCATGACCCTGGGCAACTGCTAAGGGTTCTGGGGGGGCAGGAGGGCTCCCGCAGGCTGAGTTCCCGCCCATCCCAACTGCGTGAACCTGGACAAGCTCATGCCCCTGTTGGCCGGATTTTCTCATCTGTGAATGCAGAATTGATAGCCTCTGCCTCTCAGACTGTTTCAGGATTCCACAAGAATGTGCACAGGAAGTGTGCAAGATGTGTGTGCCCTGACAGCCAGCCTCCCAGACCTGCTGCAGGGAGCCGGCTCAGCCGGGGCGGCCAGGGCCAGCCAGGACTCCAGAACCATCTCTCTTTTCCTGTTTGCACCAGGCCTTCCTCCAGTGGCTGCTCCGGAGCTAGGCACCAATGAGCAGGGCAGCCTGGCAGGCCATCCGGGAGCCATCGGAGACCTCCAATAGTGTACACCCACAGCCCATCGGAGACCCCCAATGGTGCACACCCCC